AGGGTTGCGGTCCGTTGCCGGACACGAAAAAAGACAAAAAGGAAAAAAAAAAAAAAAAGAGGGCAGTTCCTGGTTGGCCACGGCTTCTACCCCACCTGAGTGACCATCTGATCTCTCAAATTCCTTCCTCCAAGTTCCCAGACCCCAGGAAGGCCCACTGGGCTGACGGGACCTCAACAGGGGGAGCCCTGAAAGGGATAAAGTCTGCAGCCAAGCCCCAGATCTCTCCTCCTCCTTGGGAAGGAGGCAGCCTCCGATCTTCCCCACCCCAACACCACCTCTGTCCGTTCAAGGCCTTCTCTCTCATTTACAAGCTGACTTGCTCCAGATCCAAGCCCAGCCCAGTGCAGCGGCAGGGCTGCTGGGCAGGGCCTGACCTTCTGGCCCCGTATGACATCAGCCCCTGTTGCCATGGTGATGGAGGCTTGGCAAGATCTTCTCCTGGGAGATGGGTCTCTAGGCTTGAGGTTTTACAATTTTCTTTCTTTCTTTAAATCTTCATCTTTCCCCCAAACAATGAGGGGAGAAAGTAATGCCAAACTGAGCAAAAAGAGTGAGAAAGAAGAAAATGGGAGAGAGATAGGGAGAGGCAAGTGTAGTCACAGGGAGGAGGAGAGGCAGTACCAGCGAAAGAACAGAGAAAGCTCAGCCCAGCTCGAGGGGGATCTGAGCACATGCTGAGAGTCGGGAATCTGAGAATGAAGCTGGAAAAGACCGACAGCTGGACCAAGGGAGGGGACCAGGGAGCAAGATACCGCAGGACGGGAGACTAGCCTCGAGTGGCCAAAGCCATTTCTGTCTGACAACGAGCACTTGTTCCCCAGACAGACAGAACGCGACAGTTGGCCAGGTCAGCCTGACACAGAGCCGGGGACAGGGTAGTGCCAGAAGGAGTCCAGGGACCCCACAGGAGTAGGATCCAGTGCTCCAGGGATTATAAATAAACAGGAGTGTGGGAAACGCACATTCTTTCTCCAAGAAATATAATTTATGTTTACAGCCATTTTTTTTTTCTTCCTAAAGAAAACACTACCATGTGGGGCCCCTGTCCCTGGCAGTGTCCCTGAGTGTCCTCGGCCCTGACCCTCTCCTCCTGTTATTGCTTGGATGGGAACAATCTGGCCCTGGGAACTGCAGAGCAAGGCCTGTCTCCTCACACCCTGGAAGTTGTCCCCGGTGACGGATTGGAGGCACATAGTGCCCGTCCCATGAACCACGCCGTGCCAGCCACCCTGGCTGTGCCCATTTAAGGGAATGGAGAGTGCAGGCAGTGGGAGAGGAGCTGGAGCAGCTTCCCAGAGCAGAGAGCCCCTCTCTTCGGTGCAGGAGGCCTTGGAGGCACAGTGGCTTCTTTTCAAACTTGACAGCTGGAAGGCTCAGGCTGTGGGGAAGGGGAGGGACAGCTCTCTTTTCCCAGCAAGATTTCAGGCACTTGCTGGGAAAAGAGAACAGAAGAAAAGGAAGGGGAGGAGACCCTGCCTTCTGTGTCCCATACAAATCTTAGGGGGTCTGGGGAGGGAGGCATGTTCCACAAGCCCGGGTGGAGGGGTGAGGGCAGCTGAGGTGTTAGGGCCCCAATCTTAGTTTCCCACTTCTGTGCTGGCACTTGCACCTCTGGGCCAGGCCCTCCTCCCAAGGGCAGTTCTACCTCACGGGCACACAGTCCACCCCAGAGGTAGCAGCTCTTGCACCAGGCAGGGTGGGCCCACGAGATCCAAACCGCAGGAGGAAGGAGGTGGTGGGTGCCCTGGGCATCCAGGCTCAGTGAGAAGTGACGATTCCATGGACAGCGGTGACCCTGGTCCGGAGAGGAAGCTGGCACCTCTGCTGTGTTGTCAGTGCCTCTTCTTGGAGCCCAAACTTCTTGGTCTGACGACTGCCCACAGATCAGCCAGGGAGCAGTCTTCTTACTACCGAGAAGTGTCTGAAGATGGCCCCCAGGCCTGCCTGTGCCGGGCAGCTGGCCCAAAGCGGCCCCTCCACTGCCCCAAATCGGAGCCCACCAGACCTAGGTAGCCACAGCTTCCCAGAGCCTCCCCTTCCAGAATGGCAGAAGCCCATCACCCAGAGCACAGACTCAGGTGCCCAGTCCTGGAGCGCCTTCCAGGGCGCGGAGGCTGCCTCCGGGGGGCCCCAGAGCCCGGGAGCCAGCGCTCCCTATGAGCAGGTCCTCTTCCTCCTCGTCCTCAAAGGCTCGCGCCGGGCGCCGGGGAGGCGGCCTGGGCGTGGGCTCGTCGCGCTCGGCCATGCGCTCGACG